AAWMTSKKKGTKTTTTWARRMYTTTTTTAGGCCTAAAATTTWGATTTTTCCAATTTTAGACTTTTTTTAGACTTAAGACCTTACACGAACCTGCTCTTTTTTCAACAAACCCTTTTCATTTTAATATTCCTCTAAGTGCCAGTGGCCAACAGATAAACAACAATCATATATTCAAAACTAAAGTAAATAAAGCTAAGGCACGMGTTTAAAATGGTTTGTGCTTTCACCTGATCACATCCAGGGTGACGTCCGTGTAGTAAAGTTTTCCATCTACGCTGTCGTAGTCAAGTGAGATGACATTGTGCAGCTCTGGCACAGGCACGTGCACGTCGGTGTGGTCGCTGGTGTCCAGGGAGATTCTGCGCACGCTGACGCGATTCGAAAAGAGCAGGTAGGTCTCGGGGGAGTCCTCACACGACCTGCCATCTCCCTTGAGCAGAATGCCAGTGGGACACGCACAGGAAGTGCCGTTGGGACGAGGCAGGCAGAGGTGGGTGCAACCGCCGTTCCTCTTGCTACATTTATTAAAACCTAAAAAAGTCACATTGAGAATGATTGATGCAAAGTGAAAGTAGAGCAACAACAAGTGAACATAAACAATCTGTGGGTGCTTAAAGATGCATACAGTAGTATGAAACTACATGAAGCAAACAAAACATCTTAAACATGCTTAAGAGTTCATATTTTGAGTTTCATTTGGTTCATTAAACTTTTAAAACAAGCAATCGTCTACATAACAAACACCTTGTYCTGAGTCTTACCCATTGGCTTCTCCCTGTCCACAGCTTGAATGTCCATCAGGCCAGGCAGATTGGCTCGTACTGTGATGGTGTTGGCTCCGGAGTTCTTGTCCGCTCTCTGGATACTGCGGCTCTGCCAGTCAGTCCAGTAGATATGGGAACCCAAAAGAGTTAAACCATATGGGTGCTGGACAGGAGTGACCAGGGTGCGACGATTCTGCCCATTAAGGTCAGATGCCTCAATGCGCTGCAGGGGGAGACAAAGATGATCACCAACTTTTAAATCTGTTTTTAGAATTATTTTACTTTTAGAACACTTTTTGCATTTAGTTTGAAACAATTGTTAAGACTTTAACTTTACTTTGCAAAAACATTTTAATACAATTTATGTTTTCAATGCATTAAGGCCTTATCCCAAATGGAAGGATTTTTTTCTAAACAATCTTTCTTTTTGGTTATTTTTTGAAAAATACTCTTGCAAACAATGTACCATCTCTATGAATGTTTTAATTCACACAGCCAGGCAGAAATAAACCTACTGCCATAAAAATACACTGAATTAGGAAACAAGACACGGAGCATGCAGATAAAGCTTGCACACATTGGGTAGGCAGTGGACTTGGGCATAAATCAACTATAAATATGTGGACCTCGGACAAGAACCTAAAAGCTGATGCTGAAACAGAATCAGCTTCCCTGTCTGCTGGTAAGTTTCAAGTCCAACCTCAACCAGGTAAACAAACGGAACAATGACAAAGTTAAAATAATAAAAAACACAACTCAGATAATGTTTTTAGGTTCTTACAATTCTTACATTGATGATGTGGGTTCAAACACATTTTCATACATATAGTTGTATTTAGTTATTTAAAAGCTTAAAAGCTTTTTGACATTTTTTTAAATTTTTTGTAAGGGTGTCAAGCTAAAGGTAAGAACAGGAGGAAGTCATCTGAAAACCTGGTTTTCACAAAAAAAAAAGCCCCCAGTAGCACCTGGAAATGCCTGGAAATGTTTAAAAGGAAAACACTGCACGTTTTTACTCACTGGTGCAAGACAGACTGATAAGGGGTGAAAAGAAAGGTCATGTGAAACTGTGATTGTGTGAAGGGGGAGTAGATGGGAAACAATCGTGTGTTGTAACTTTAGAAGTATCTTTTGAAGACGGTTCCTACTGGTTTCAATACCCAACAATGAGAGAAGGCAGAGATAGTTGATCTGTTAGTAAAACATGCTCATGGTACAAGAAGACAATAAAGACTGTATATATTATAGAGTGAAGTCTTTGGTTTGAACAACAAACAAAAAGAAGATGATGGCAAATTACAAGCGCAAAAACAGAATCCTTTTTGGAGAACTTTTATTTGTATCACATTAAACTACAAGAGCACAGAAGTGTGGCCTGAGAGTCATGTTAGTCTAAATACGGACATTAAAGAAGCACACATGTCAAGTTGTACGGATTGTCTGTAATTTACATGGATTTCCACTCATTTTGCAGGTCTACAGACGTATAGAACAATCTCAGATTTTTTTCAAGTTTTGTAGATTTTTTTCAYGTCACAGCCCGTAGGACGTAAAAAAATAAAACAATAAATAACATCAAATCTGACATCTTCCAGCCTGCTCTACCACTAAAAGTAAGTTCTCCTGTCCTCATTTGCGCAGCAGGTGCCGTCAACTCCGCGGCTGACAGTCCGCCTGCAACCCCACCCCTACCCCCCATGGGGAATTAATACAGATTTATTTGTGAAATTTACAGATCTTTGAGGCTCATTATACAGGTAAACATTTGAAGGGGTTGACATGTATGCAGGTGAAACAACATCCAGTGAGAGACGAYTGGAGGGAAGGATTTCCTGATGATGTTCAAGTACAAAAAGGTAAATTCTTTATACATTTTGTTGGTCTTTTAAAACTATTCTCATTTCCAAGTTTTTAATTGTATCTTTGATGCATATTGTAGTTTTGTTCTGCAACATCTGCTATAATGCTGACAGCCCAATGAATTGCTGAAAACATTTATGGCCTTTAAAGGACTTTTGCTCTGGAAATGATTTTGTTCATCATCCTTGTCTGTCCATTGAAATAATATGGGATACGAACGTGTTGCTGTCCCTGAGAAACTAACTTATGCAACACAAACTTAATCTTTMATTTTTGTTCTCACGTCTGTCACACTTGAGGCAGAAGGTGGACCTATCATGTCAGTTTTAAAAAGGATATGCTTAGGCTGCCCACACAAAGGCTGTGGTACTAGCTTGACTCACTCTGGAACCCAGTTTGAAAACATWTCATTTAGGAGCTCTAAAAGATCATTTCCATGTGGATGCAATGCTGAAATAATTGAAAACTTTGCATGTTTATAAAAACATTGTGAATGATAACTTTGTCTGTGAATAATACGATTTAAAGGATCTCTATTAGGACCAATGTTCTTTGAGTGCAGCAACCAAGTAAAATTCAATTGATCAGCAATAACAAACCTCAGAGCATAAATCAGGATTTTCATCCCACGATAATGTATGATGGTTCCATTCCAGTGCAGTTATTACTAACCTCAGTGTGAGCATCAGCCCACAGTAGCTGTGATCCAGCCGTATCAATAGCCAGGCCATTAGGCCAGCCCAGGTTGTTGCTTATGAGGACCACACGWTCCGATCCATCCATCGCTGAGCGCTCCAGTTTTGCATGCTCACCCCAGTCCGACCAGTACATATAACTGAACAACCAAGAATGAAAGAACAAATGTAGACTGAAGAYTGAAAGACTGCGGTCAAGTTAAAAATCTAAGATCAAATGAACAACAGCAACAATCGCATGCTAGCAGCCTCTCACCCCATCTCATGGTAGAGGGCAATCGCTCGTGGGCTATCAAGGTTTTGCCAAATGAGAACCTTCCTCATGGAACCATCCAGGTTGGCCGCTTCAATACGGTTGGTTCCTGTGTCAGTCCAGTAGATCTTCCTGCCGACAGCRTCCACCGCCAGCCCATCAGTGGTCATCAATCCTACAGAGAGACACAAAGCTGGAGTTATGACAACATGACAGAGTAGGATCAGGTTATATAATGATTACTGTCCTCTACCTGTAGATATGATGTCTTCGTGTGCTGACCCATTGATGTTGGATCTGCTGATTTTCTTCAGTGTACTGTCAGACCAGTAGACTTTTCCTACACAAGGTGACACATTTGAATGTAAGGACTCCAATTTTTATTCACGTGACTCTTTGATCAGAGATTTGAAAATGTTGAGAAGATGTAAAAACCTTCTTTGGGGTCAACGCTGATGGCAATAGTGTTTTTCATTGAGCTATTGACCGCTAGAACCACATCAGCGTAGTAGGGAATATCCAAAGAAACCATCCTGATGTCTGTCCTCCGAGCAAAGATAAGGAAGCTGTTCATCCCTGCACACACACACACACACACACACACAYGCAGTTCTGGTCATATTGTGAAATTGACAGTATTTTATTTTTTACCAGGTTTACAAGTACTTATTTTAATTGTTTTATTGCTTCTTCTATTTTTTACCTCTTAATATCTTTAACAAATGAATGTGTGCGTGGATTATTCAAGACAAACATTAAGAAAATTATCTTAAAAAAGATGAGTTCAGTATAATTTCTGCACACACTTGTGAAAAGCTATGTTCAGCAAACATTTTAGGCKTTTAGTCTAATGCTTCTAGGATGTCAGCAGAGATTTTTCTGTACCAGGTGTGCAGGTTTTTCCATCGCTTTGCAAGTTGATCCCAGTGGGACAGGAGCAGCTAGAAGCCTTGGGAGCAGGTGCCAGGAGACAGAGGTGGCTACAGCCTCCATTATTGACTGCACACGGGTTGTGCACTATTGAAACACACACACAAAGACAAACAGAGACTCAGACCACCCACTGACCTACTTCTAATGTACACTTAGTGGAAAGGAATGGGGCAAGGTAAGGGAGAAGCAGGCAACAAGGGAACACACAAATAGAAAAACTCTTCTGGGACTAMCAAACAGCCTCATGCATCAGAGAGAAACTGTTTCAGTTTAAGTTGGTMCCACTGAACCCTCTCTGCCAAAGATCTGTGTTTATCTACAAATAACAAAATTAACATTGAATATAAACACCAAATGCAGCAACAAAATGAGACAGGAGAGATATCATCACATAAAGTTTAACTTGTAAATGAGGAAACTGAATGTTTTTATTTGCAAACTTTATTTTTTTTTCTGTGAAATGTTTTACTGCAGGGAAACTACGAAATACAGCTAAATCAATACATTACTTTACCAAGACAAAAATAATTTATACTTTGACTGTATCAAATGAAAATTAAAATGCCGACACAAACCTGTCTCGCGGTGCCGATGGAACATATGAATGTCCATCAGATTCTCCAAGTTCTCAGCCAGCGTGTGGCGCTCCAAACCCGTGAGCTTGTCGGCACTGTGGATGCTCTTGGATAACCAGTCGGTCCAGTACAGCTTGTCTTCGTGTACAGTGAGCCCAAAAGGGTGAGGCAGCTGGCTGCCAATCAAAACCTGAAAAAAAAAAAAAACAGTAACACAGAGATCAAAGGATTCCTAAACATACGAAACGTTTGATGTAACAACTGATAAGAAGGGAGAAAAAAACAAAAAAAGTGACATCAAGGCATCAGCTTTGTGAGAATAAAAACACCTGTTACCTGTCTGTCTGAACCATCAAAGTTTCCAAATTCAATAGTCTTCATGCCTGCATCAGCCCAGTACAGACGTTTGGTCTCATAGTCGATGGCAAGTCCGTTGGGCCATGTYAGATTGGATGAAATGATGACGATGCGATTTGAAGCGTCCATTCCTGCGCGCTCAATCTTTGGGTTGGCACCCCAGTCAGTCCAGTACATGAAGCTGTAGAGAMAAAACAACATATWTGAAGTTTATGTGGTGTCTTGTGGGATTTGTTTWCCTTTTAAACCTTCCTAATATTCTTACCCTCCAGTTGGGTCGACTACAATGTCTCTGGGTCGATCCAGGTTCTCCCAAATCAGAACAGTCCGCATGCTCCCATCAGCATTTGAAACCTCGATACGATCTGTACCTGATAGCAAAAACAGACTCGGTTATAAACCAAGAACATATGCTGTCCTGCAGGTGGCTGTGAATAATGAGTCAAAGAAATGTCATGTAAGAATTTATGAAATGGGGCTGTTTACCTGCATCGGTCCAGTAGAGTTTATTGGTCACCCAATCGATTGCCAATCCTGCTGGGCTCTCCAAGCTGGTATCCACCACCACCTAAAGAAGAAAAAACTGAAATCTGAATCCTCCTTTCTACTACACTTACAGAAAAAACACATATTGACACCAAGAAACCTAAATCAATTTGACCTTTTTTATGCTTTCTAATAAAATGTTGGGAACATCTTCCAACATTTACTTTTTGACGTCATACACAGACAATTTTTTGCCTTTTATATGGATTAAACTGACAATACCCTAAGTTACATGAATTTGAAGTTGCAATTTGCAGTAGGCCCCAGCAGAGGGCAATATAGCATAAACTAAACATAGCTGTCGTCTGCTGCTTCCGTTGAAAACAATGAGAAGCAAGTGGCGAGTTTAGTCAGAGCTTAGATGTCACTGACCTCCTGCTTGGTGCCATTCCACAGTGCTCTGTTGATGGAGTCGGTTGTGACGTCGGTCCAGTAAATGTAGCCGTCTTTGTCGTGCCAGTCCAGTGCCACAGCGTTGCGCACATCAGCCAGAGGGATGACATCATCGGACATGTCCTTGGTATCAAAGCTGATTCGTCGGATGTCCGTCCTTCGGGCAAAAAGCAGGAACTTGTCAAGACCTGATTAAAGACCAAAGGTCTTCTGTCAGTCTTCTAGGTTTAACAGTGGAGTCAACAGTGAAACACAAAGCAAAACAGCACCACCACAAAAACATCAAGCAGCCCTTAAAATGAAAATTCAATCAAACACACTGATTAAAGCCATAAATCATAACCCTCCCACGAATTTCAAAGAGAAATAAGAATACAATAAAGATGTTTTTTTTTTTAAACCAGAGGGTGTGGAGGACTCATATGACTCTTATTTAAGTTGAGCAACAACGTAATGAGAAGGAAATGAAAAACAAAAAAAGCAATAATTGAAAACTTGTATAATTCGATCCATTTCAAGACAAGACTTATTTGGTTACATTCAAGTGCAAAATGTTGGTTTTCAAATTTTCTTTAATTGCGATCACTTTACATTGAGCAAATGTTTTCTTATTTTCTATGTGCACATTTGTTATTTTAATTTATGCTTCAAGAGCTTACACCTCAACTCACAGGTTAATCTGATTAAGTTTGTATTGTAGGATTAACGTTTTCAGTGTAGTTTCTGAACACRGGGCATTTTATGAGTTAAGGTTGACAGTCAAAAGTCAGATGTAAATCAAAAGGAAAAAAGCAAGTTTTCATCATTATTACTGTCATCTTTTCAAGATTTCCTTTTCTTTGAAAATAATATCTTTAGGTTTGGTAATGATTTGATTCAGTTGTTACAACACTAAGTGCTTTGAATGGTTTCAGTAAAAAAATAAAAAGGCTAAAACGTCAAAAACACATTAAAAAGGGTAACTCACTGATGGAACAGCTATAATGGTCCACTTTCTTGAAGCCGGTGGGGCAGGCGCAGGTGAAGGTTTTGTTGCTTGGCAGACACAGATGGCTGCAACCTCCATTGTTGGTGCCACAGCGGTTTCTGCCACCTAGAGGGGAAGGAGTTATACACGATTCAGAATCCAGCGGATTCATCCTTAAAATTTGTAATGTTGTAGTT